GCGAGTACTTAAAGCTCGACAAATGGCTTAAAGACAAGATTGAGTGCAACGGCGAGAACTTTGTCAACGCCTGCATTATGTTTCTTAACCGTCGCTGTCCGGCATTGTTGGGCACTTCGCCGCCCAATGAGTCGGCGGCCAACACAACTACACTGCCCGCCGAAACACTGGCCACTATGTTGTCGTGTCTGCAACAGGCCATCAGTGCCACCGGCTCTCCATCTTCCGGTGCCATCACTTCAATATCGGCGATGTCTCAAGAGATCAATGACGCCATTCTAACAATGGTGGCCAACTCGACGCGTCTTATATCGAAACTGCCCCGACAGGGACCGCCCGGAGCCATACCAACCATCGGACCCCCCAATCCTATCCGTACAACAATCCCGATCTCCACGCAGTCATCTATCGGTGATCTCGGAATGAGTGGTTTGAATATTAGTCAAACTCCCGAAACGCCGACCTCTGCGTTCTCGCAATCAGTTCGGCCGCCATTTAATCCAATCGGTTTGGGTTCACAACAAATCGCGAACAACAACGCCGTGAGCGCCGCTGAAAATGCTAACCGTATGAAAATGGCCGGAGATTTGGCCAACAATTTGGCGCAAATATTTCCTGATATGCAACACAACGTCAGTGTAGACATCGAGGAAGAGGCGGACACATACTTCCAGCGTATATACAATCAGCAACAGTCGGGTTGTCTGACCATCGATGAGGTGCTCGATATGTTGCGACGCTTTCAGGACTCGGAAACAAAACGAGAGAGGGATGTGTTTACGTGTATGATTAGAAACCTATTCAAAGAGTACGGATTTTTCCCGCAATATCCCGATCGAGAGCTGTTAATAACGGCCCAATTGTTTGGCGGTATAATCCAAATGGGTTTAGTTAAGTACATGGCGTTAGTGGTGGCGCTCAGGTATGTGTTGGAGGCGTTGCGCAAACAACACGCCAGCAAAATGTACTTCTTTGGAATCGCCGCTCTCGACAGGTTTAAGTCCAAACTCAAAGACTATCCCCTGTATTGTCACCATTTGGCACAAATACCCCATTTCCGTGACTTTCCGCCCCATCTCATCGAATACATCGAATGCGGCACTCGATCCATATCGCCCTCAGTCGGCAGGAATAATGTCAACTCATCCCAACCACCCGTCGGTATGCCCTCTATAGTGGGCTCAACGCCCACACTCAACGCTAACAGCATTGCATCAGCTTTGCCTCAATTGAGTGCTAACCTCACAATGGGTTCAAACCTTTCTAATGCCAACAACATATCGACTTCGCGTGTCGTTCAGCCGCCCATCGCGTCGGCTAATAGTACGACAGCCAACTCGACCGCAACCACAGCTGCGACTTCTGTCATGTCAACGACAAGCAGTTCTCGGCCGTCGATCGCTAACGCGACAAACATTGACCCATTGTTGGCCGCGAGCGACACGATATTCGCGGAACCGCCGGACGCGATGCAGGACAAGATTGCGTTCATTATAAACAATTTATCGCAACTAAATCTGTCGCACAAAACCGATGAGTTCAAGGAAACCATTGGAAACGAAGAGCAGTACAACGATTGGATCGCACAGTACTTAGTGGTGAAGAGGGCGTCCATTGAGCCCAACTTTCACGCCCTTTACGCCAATTTCATCGAAATGTTGAAAATGAATGAATTGACTCGTATTGTACTGAAAGAAACGCATCGAAACATTAAAGTACTTCTCGGAAGTGATAAAGAGATCGCCAACTTTAGTGACCGCTCTCTACTCAAGAACTTAGGCCATTGGTTAGGAATGTTAACACTCGCCAAGAATAAGCCCATTCTCAGTGTGGATCTCGAACTCAAGAACCTTCTGATAGAGGCCTACCAGAGGGGCACTCAGGAACTCCTATATATCGTCCCATTCATCGCTAAGATTCTCGAGAGTTGTGCGAAGTCTCGTGTGTTTAAGCCTCCGAACCCGTGGACAATGGCTATAATCAAAGGACTGGTAGAACTACATCAGGAGCCGAACATTAAGCTTAACCTTAAGTTTGAAGTGGAAGTCCTGTGCAAAACACTCAATATAGACATTAATTCACTGATTGGCAAATCAATGATTTTGAAGAGCGATTTGTACACTAAAATTGATAACCAATTAGGAGGCGGAATAAAGCCGCCACAGCCTACACTTCAGCCGATCACTACCGCCGATTCACACATGATTATACCCCATCACACGCCATCGCCGGCGCCGCAATTGGTGTCATCTCACCCGCAAGTGACGAGTTTACCGCAAACATCAGTCCCAACCCCTTCAGTGGGAAATCAGGCGCCAGGAGTCCAACTATACAACTATCACGACATTAACGTCAACACCACGAGTGGTCTCTCACAACATGTGGTGATTCAACCCAATCTACAACTTCTATCAATGAATCCGTCGCTCAAAGCGCTCGTTCGACCGGCAATTGAAAGAGCGGTTCAGGAATGGATTGTTCCGGTGGTCGAGCGGAGCATTAAGATCAGTCTGACGACAGCCGAACAGATCATCAAAAAGGACTTTGCGTTGGATCCGGACGAGAACCACATGTGTGTCGCCGCACACTATCTGACCAGAAATTTGACGGCAGGAATGGCAATGATTACGTGTAAAGACCCGTTGTTTGTGTCGATTACGACCGCACTTAAGAACGCGTTCAACGGTCGCGCTTCGCAGATGTCGAAGGATATGATTGACGCGACGGCCCATACGATCGCCACCGACAACATCGACCTCTGCTGTTGTTTCATTCAGAAGACGGCGATTGAGAAGTCTTTGACAGAATTGGACAGAAAAATGAAGAGTGAATACGAAGTGAGACGCGCCGCCAGAGCCGAAGGCAGACGCTATTGCGACCCAACAGTACTGACATATCAGGCCGAGAGAATGCCAGAAGCCATACGTCTGAAAGTGGGTCCCGTCACTCCTCAACAGATGAATGTTTACGAAGAGTTGGGCAAAAATATTCCCGGATTTTTGTCACCCATTTCTGATAATCCGAACGCCATCTCAAACGCCAACGAAAGAAATCAATTGATTGGCCAGTCGTCGGCGCCTTCTTTCAAGACATCGCATATGAATCAAAGCGTTTCCAACAACTTTGTCGGCTCGTCTGATCCACCCGTTTCCACCCAAGCGGCCGACGCAGCTCTGGTCACCATTTATGACAAATTAATGACAGAATTGGAGTCTCTTATGCATCAATTCAGTCAAATACAGAGTATGTCTTCGGAATTGTTTGTGAATACGATTCGAGGCATCGCTGAGATTCTACTGTTGGCGCGACAGAACCCAAGAGACGTGATGTGTGCCCTCACGTTAATACAGAAGGTCTTGGAGGCCATTCACGAACTCATAGCCAATATGGATCAGTCAGGAGTGGCAGATATGCTAGTGATTGGTCGCGCGAGGGATCTCTATCTTGTTATACTGAAAGCGCTGTCAGATCCCAGAGCTTTCACTCATCAGTGGACCACTAAACAGATCACTCGACTAGTGTTGGAGCGATTGTTCAACTCGTCGACCGGTCCGGCACTTCCCGACGAATTGCTGGAGATCCTGATCCGCGCCTCACTTATCAACTTCCAGATGATGGACATTCATTTGGCGCAACTCATTGAAAACACCCAAAACCCAGTGGCGCTCGCATTCACTCTCCAATTCATCAAAATATATGGCCATAACTTCAGTGAAACTGATTTCCCGAACACTATTGAAAATCTGCTTCGTTTGAGTAAAGGATCGGCGCATCCATTGATTCTAGAGATCCAGCAGATCGTCGAAAGTCTTCGTGGGTCGCAATCGGGTTCGGTTAGTGTCCACAACGATGTGCCCGCGAGTATGGTTTCAATGGACGTTTCGGCGAATTCGCGTCAGTTCGACGCCGACCCGCCCGGCCTTCTCGAGAAGACCGAACGACTTCTTCGGGAATGGATTCAATTATATCACTCTCAGGCGAATACCAGCAAAATATTCCAGTTTTATGTCCAACAGATGAACCTTCAGGTGAGAGTTGTTTTTTCATATAACGTGTAATGAGTTATTTAATTGAATACGTTTTGT